AAAGAGTGAAGCACTGTGGGATGCTGGAGGACTTTGGGGTCTCCTTTCATGGTCTGTAGTGTGTGCATATGTAACCTGAAATGTTTCATTTTGAAGCACTTCTAAATAGTATCTGCTTCCTTGAGGGACATTTTGGGATCACTTCTGCCATTTGGAGGGCTTCAAAGGGCATGTTAGTCTGTCCATCTCACCCTTTCACAGGAATGGTTGCAGTGCGTTTATTCTAACGAGGCACCACATCCGTTCAGCTGCCAACCTGAACCCATTTGAAGCGACTCCTCTTGTGTCTGAGGGCAAAGGTCATTAGTAAAGCAGAGTACTTTCCTACATGTTTCATGGCATAAAACCCCAGAAAACCCTGCTGTAGTGGACCACACTAGATCACAGCCTCTATCCTACCAGTCCCCAAGCAGTTCAGGGTTGTTCCCTACAACACTGTCCACGTTCACTGTTGTTCTATCTATTCCTTTTCCTTAAAGGTCCTAAGATACAGAATCACCATCATTTCCCCAAAAAACTATTAATACCATGAATGAACATTATACCTAGTATATATGTTCCCAGAGAGAAGAGACACGTAGCACGTAGGTCTTACAGGCAGGAGATTCTATTTCTAGTCTTCACACAAACTTGTGCGACTTTGTGAAATCACTTCAGTTCTTGGAGCGAAATCTATCTTTAGGTGGTGAACCAGAAACAATTCTATATAGCCCATCATGGCATTTCAGTGCTACCTGGGCTGGTGCTGGCCTTTTGTGGTCAGTGAACGTCATTCTTTCTACCTGTTTTCCAATCTGTAAAATGAAGATAATACTAAATGGATGCTCATAAATACTTTAGGATGGAAGGTGCCAGGGAAATGCACATTAATAGGATTACTTCTTGCAAAGGCATCAAGACCCAGGACCACACACTTCTTCACTTGCCTTTGTTAGCATGCCAGGTCCCATCTTATGCTCTGATGTCTGTCATGTTTTTTCCAGACCTTTATTATGAACAGGATGAAGATGGAGAAAGGCTATTTTTGGCTGGGACTCAGTAAGGTGGCGGACAAGTGGCTGTGGGTGGCTGGTGCTGGTTTGCCGCCAGAGAAGTACGTTTAATGATTCCTTTTTATGACACCTTTAAAACCGCATGGATCAAATAAGAATTCTGTCATTAATATATTGTCCTTGCTGTGCCTAATGAGATCATTACACTGTCTAATTTGGCACCTGGCTCGTGGTAGAATCCAGTTCCTGATGCTTTTGGGGAAGGTGAATGTCCCCCTTAGTGAAATTCCATGTTCAGCATTTCATAGCTGGATCAGGGGTCTAAGCATAGAGAGACACCCCACCCCCAAGCCCATCCCCAAGAGTGTTTCCTCTGTGCCCTGAAAGAAGGTGTTGAACTACAGATGCCTATGAAATAATACTGTGAGTACTGAGTTCCAGAGAGAAAACATCTTCTGTATAACAATCTGTGTCATCACATCCATTTTAAGTGCACTTTCTTAGCCAAGTGACCACTTTGCCATTTGCCCTTCACTGGGGAGAGACAGGGTAAGGAGTGTTTGCTGGTATTTTTTAATGAACAATGTATTTCCTTGTGGGGAAGAAGAAAATGAGTGTGTTTGGAAGAGAGTCACAGCCCCGCTTTGAGAGGGGGAGGTTCAGCTGGTGAGGGACAGTAAGGGGTAGGAGGATTCATAGAATCATAGATTCATAGAAAATGAGGGTTGGAAGGGACCACGAAGTCATCTAGTCCAACCCCCTGCCCAAAGCAGGACTATCCCCAACTAGATCACCCCAGCCAGGGCTTTGTCTAGCTGAGTCTTAAAAACCGCCAAGGATGGACAGTCCACCACCTCTCTGGGTAACCTGTTCCAGTGTTTTGCTACCCTTCTAGTGAGAATTTTTCTTCCTAATATCTAACCTAAACTTCCCTTGCTGCAGCTTGAATGAACAATGTGATTCCCTGCATGTGAGTCAAGGGACTGGGAGTAAGAGTGGGAATAAGCAGAGATGGGAGGGAATACAGGTGAAGGGAAGTGATGTTTTATTTTATAGAGATTTTGAATGTGGATTGGGAAGCAAACATTGGGGAGGAGCTCTCCTTGGTCAGAAGAAGAGAGCAGAAGAGAGTGAGGTGGAGTGGGCTGGTTTTGAATTTTGGAGGGTCATTTAGTGGGAGAAGTTTTTTGTGGCACCTTATTCTTCAATATTTTATTTTCTGTTTCTATAATTGTTGTTGTTTGTTGTGTACTGTAAGCTACCCTGAGCCTTTTTTTGTGAAGGGTGGCATATAAATCTAATGAATAAATAACAATAAAATAAATAATGATTAGGGTCCATTGAGAATACCCAAGTAATAGATTTGTTCTGAGGAACCCTTCATCAGTTCTTCATTGTTACCCATCATGGCAGTGCCTGAAGGCCAAACTTTTCAAGGTATATAGGGTATGTGTACATTGCAGGGAAGGGAAGGCACATTCAAGCTAGTTTTTGAAGAGCAAGCTTGGGTATTGCAAGTCTAGCAGCAGGGCATGTTAGCCCAGGCTGAGCCCTTTGTTGTTAGGGCTAAACTGCATCAAATACCCATATTATTATTCAGAGTTAGGTCACATATCTCCGCATTACCCTCTAGCCTGTGGTGTGAGCATAGCTGTAGGCAAGGCCTGGACATGAACCACCTTACATTGGTTTCGAAATCTGGCTGAGTGCCTTCCATGGAGATGAATTGCCTAGTCCCTAGGGGATGGGGATGTCCTGGGTTCTGCCTTTTTGGGGCCCAGGCTCTGACAATCAGTCCTTAGAAAACTGTGGCCAGGCTGTCATCTGGAAAGAAAGGACAACATTTTATAACACACTGGTAGTGAAAGGATGTGTTTTTAAATCCTGACAACATCCAGGATTAGTGAGAAGTGCAACAGAACCCTGCAACTTCCCATCATTTAACTGTGGTACATAGCAGCAGTCTGTATGATTTTTCCTTTGTTTTGATGACATTTTTTTCCTGATTTTTGTCTTCCTTCTTCACTCACTGAGAGATTTCATGGACAATGGGAGAATCAGTAGAATTATGATCTCAAATATCAAAGCAGCAAAACCTGAATAACTGAGAGTAGAAGGGATTTTTATTCATCCGTCTACAGAATGAAGGGTTCTCCTTGCATTTATTAACATTTATGTCACTCAGACCTGGACAAATAGTTTTTAAAAAGTACTTAGTCAAATGATGGCAAACATCTTTGATGTAAAACCTGCTTCTCTGATGTTGTCTTCCATTAGGTTTCAGGTTGCAGGTGGCAGTGACAATCACAACTGTGTTGTCTGTGGTGCAGATGAGGTTATGTCTGAGAGCTGTTTCAACCCCAACAAGTGGATCTGTGAGAAAGCCACCAAGGAGTTCCCAGCTGTGAAGGTGGATCTGCTGGACTGACAACCCCTCCCTGGTCCTAGTGAAACCTCTGCAAAGATGGAGTAAGGAGCTGGGTTTACCCCAGGCCCAGACACAAATGTAGCAAATAGGACCCAGCATGAGGTCTGAAGCCAAAGGACTAATTAAGCTAGAATATGGAATCCTCCCTTATGCCTTGGAATGAGCCCACCTAGAAAACTGAACTCCTAACAGCGTGTTCAATGTGCAAGAGACAGAGCATAAGCCTATCTGGACACAGGCTGCTCTTCAGGGACTGAGGGTCATCTCCAGTGTCGCCTTCCATCAGGAAATCTGCAGCCAGTCCTGGACACCCTCTGCCTCAGCTAGGCCTGCCAGGAGATACCCACTGTCACCCTAGAGAGGCAAGTTCTTTCCCAAGACAATGCAGAATCACCTGTGCATTAGGATTTTAGCTCCCGGTCACCTCTGCTTCCTCCATTTATCATGATTTCCTCCCTCATCCAGGAACCTGCTCTCTATTTACTCCTAATCTATCCACCTGCCTCAGGTCCTTTGTAGCTTCTATACTGACTTCCTGTTAATTGATTCCTCCGCCCATTCCAGTCCAGCTGGGACCTCCAATGTTCAAGTCTTTTTCAATTTGTGTTAGTCCAGTGTGTTTTAGTTCAAAAGTATACCACTATCATTTTCTCACCACTGACATGCATTTCATCATTCATAAAAATGTATGCACTGTAGTGCCAGGCACTTTTAAAAGTGCCTGGTGCTGCGGTGCAAGCATGTGTACAAATGCCTTAACTCAGGGAATTAATTTAGAGTAAGACCTATGAGGTATGGGTGTGGCTATGGGGAGGATGGAGGCCACAATTAGGGCCCCTAAGCAATAGTTAGGACCAGAAGGCCCCAGTTAGAGCCTGTAAGGCCATGAGTAGAGCCCAAAGGATGAACTTGGGGACAGAGAAGCTCCGAGGACTGTGCTGAGAGGGAAGTCATCAAAGGAAGCTACTCTGGTCTCTGGAGGCAGCCTCCCAAGCTCATCATTTTTACATCAAAGGCACAGGAGGCAAGAGACACAAGATAAGCAAAGCCAGAGAGTGCAGCAGGTGGAGCTGACAAGCAGGGGGGCATCAGACTGGGGTTGGATATCTGAGCCTGCTTCAGAAACTAGAGCTCAACCTCTAGCCAGAGGTTCTCAATGGTTTTAGATATAAGGCGCCCCTCATTAGACTAAAGACACCTCTTGGAAAATGTCAGTTCTTAGCTTTCCCTAATTTTTTTGACTATGGAAAAGTAATAGATTCACAGATTCATAGATGCTAGGGTCGGAAGGGACCTCAATAGATCATCGAGTCTGCCCCCTGCATAA